GCATTACAGTTGATATGTGGACACTTGTATTTTTTCTACATCTGAAAAACAACTGTTATCATATTTGTGTTTATATCTAATTTTTCTATTACTCAATCAGGTAAATTAATTGACCCAATTTGAAAATTGATCACGAAAATATTAAAGCCATTAAATAAACTTATCACATCCTATTTTGATTAGCTTAGATCACAAGACTCTGTTAACTCGTTTTTGTACATATTTCAAATAGAAATATTGATGTTAATGTTACCTATTATGTTACTCATAATCGAAGAATCGTTGAATGCGATAAGACGAAAATCAGTTTCGGTCATCAATTTTTTATTCTTATTACCAAATAACACCCAAAAATTTATTGTCAAAAAAAATATGTTCTACTACTTCCTGTTTATAATTTCTTAGTTGAACACCATTCTAAGATATCATGTTAAATATTTGAAAGCGTATGAAATTAAAAAAATGACACACTTCTGAAACTCTTAAAACTATTGTTTAGATCACTTAATTAGCATATTCTACACTAAATTACATGAACAGCAAATTATATTTGTTACCTATTAATGTTACCTACAATAGCAGAATAGCTGATTGTGATAAGACGAAATCAGTTGAGGTCTTCAATTCATTATTATTATTAATATTTACTATTATTTTAATTTATTATTATTATTACCAAATAGTACCCAATGGAAGTCACCTGGCATATTCTGAACTGAAGCGATGCATAGCAGAAGGTTGAACCAAATGATGTATGCCATCGATAAAGTGAAGAACAAGGCGATCTACGGAATTGTTAAAATGGCAGAAAAGCTCGAATGGAAGCTTTTTATTTCAGATTAGTTGGAATTAAGCAACCAAAGGTTCAACAGTCTTTAATTCATGGCATTCGCATTAATTTTTATATTTCTCTTTATTGCATTCATCCGATCTCTGAAGTCACAGTTGATGAATGCGCTTTTGGACTACTAGAAACAGTGAAAGCTTAAAGTTTCGATGACACGGAGAATGTGAAGATTTGCATAAATTGAAACTGGCGGATTATTCGTATTAAATGTCATTGGTTAAAGGAATATTTAATCCATACGTGCAGTATTGAATAACTCTGTTTGCATTTTGTAGTATTATTATGTAAATTTCCGATTTTTCTTTTTTGTGGCATTAGTCAATTGTTAATGCAAACATTTTGGGACATACTGAGCTATTTTCGAATTGTATTCTTAAGCATTATTAAAATCTTTATTATATTGCAAATGATTATATTTTTTGTATTTTTTTTCTAATCTTGCAATTAGATGTCCTGTTCTTCCTCTAGTCAAATCTCTATTGGCTATGTGTGGCAAATGTTATATTATCACAAATGACACAAATTGTGATAATAATATATTTTGGAGTTTGCGTACTGAAATACATAAATGAGTAACGATCGAAATGTATTAGTGATAAGTGAGCAATAAAATGAATTGACCAGCAGCAAATATTACAGTTATACGAATATTACAGTACAGTTATATTAGGTGTGCTTACGAGAATGTATATTCATAATAACAGTCGCATTTTGAACAAAAAACGAAAAGATCATAATGAAGGAAAAAATTAGTAACTATAACATGGAAAAATTAATACGCCATTAATAAGAACATGTCATTATACAGGTAGTAATCTCCCTCTTTCTCTCCCTCTCTTTTCATGCCTAATCATTCTGCTTTAAAAGTTTTCTTCTCTCATAAATGTTTAATTAACCTTCATTTTATCATTGTATGGAAAAATTTTCTAAAAAATTTTTTAAAGGATAAAATGTATATCATCGAGAAAAAAGGGATCATGGGAGAAGTGCTCGTCATGATTATTCAATTGAAAAAGGTCAGCTAAAACTTTTTTCCTTTTTTCGGAAATTAAAATTTGAAATAATAAAATACTAGGTCTTATCGATAATATCTGCATTATATCATTCGAAATAAAACACTTGTGTATTTCTTATTCCTTGTAATAGTTGCATGCTTAATATTTCGAAAAATAAAAAATGAAAGAAAATCATTATCTTATCAATTACCCTGATAAATGAATATTTTAATTAAATTTCCCAATCATTTGAATTTATTATATAAATTTAGGCAATATTAGTTTAATTTTTTATTTTTTTAAAAATCTTTTGAAGCACACATAAATATATTTTAATTGTATATTTGTCTTCCTGATTTGATTTACTTTTGTATCAGGCAATAATTAATAAAAACAATAAAACAATGAGGACAACAATTATTTATTTGTTCGAGAATGTGGGTTTTTTTAACCAAGAAATTTTGAATAAATATTTAAAAAAATTACAATTGTCGCGAATTTTTATTCGCGAGACTCCAACCATACAAATATATAATCAAATAAATTTCCTATTGTAAATCAT